AGACAAATTATGCTACGGTTATCGAATTATTATTATTATTGTTATTCTTGGGTTCACGTTCATTGGAAGGAGATAGGTAACAAAGTTGGGAATTACTGAGGTGGGGTACATGTAACCGGCCTCCATTCTGGCGAACTTTGGTGTTTTTTGACATTTTTATATCATACTGACAGGAGTTCAGTGTTTGGGGTCATCCTGCCCTTCGGTTGAGTCATGTTTCACTACACGTCAGTGGCGCTCGTCTAAAAACCATTGTCAAAATACTTGTCAAACACCGTTCTGTCGTAAAAAAATGAAAAAATCCCCCAGACCGAGAACATATCTTTGTGAACTTTGTTGACGATAGCCAAACAGCTGGTATGGTCCGGTTTCTCTTTGCAAAGCCAGTTTTACTCTGTTTGCCGACATTCTCTCCGAAGCCACGACTACGGACACAGTTTGTTTACGCCCGCTGATTCACTCAGTCAGATGCCCTCAGTTTGAAGCCGGTGTGGACTTAAACAGACATTTATATCACCGTATACCAAGGAACAATCTGTCAAGCAATCCTCTGTCCGTCAACAGTGCAAGCGTCTGTGTAAAACTGGCTCCAGTCTCATGGCGTGCCAAACAATGTGGGCGGGTGTCCTGTGCACTGCTGGAGTGATTTTGCGTGATTTGTATCTCCCTAAAAACACGTGATTTGGTTGGGGATTTAGAAAGCTGCCCAGTGAAAGGTTGGATTCAACTAACTTTTAGCCGCATCGTGCAGTATTCTCTCGAAGGGCTTGCCACCACAAGTCACAGTCAGCACTGTAACTTCTTGTCAGTATGCCTGCTCTACTGTAACACAAAATTAGTGCGCTAATCTTATTTTACCCAATCACAGATGTCGTTTTGTCGATGCTGATGATAAATATAACATTGAATAACTTTCTTCTCTATATTTGCAACCACATTCTTTATGCCATACTTGCCTGAGATCTTCATATTGTCTTCATAAGGGGAGTTGAAGAAATGTATCTTCGTTGGACGCTAATGGTCGATTCCATTTATATTAAGAAGGTTATATAAAAATAGTATTAAAAACATCTATACCATACTATGTGCTGAAAAGGTTTCGCCATGCTGCGTGGTAGGGTTCTTCAACAAACGGATGCTATAAGCCTTGCTGGCTTGGAAAGGAGAATAGCGACCTAGAACAGCGTTTATACATAAAAAAAATACAAACAGAATTTTCATTATTCCCACTTCTTAGGACTGCCGTCAAAATGATTGTTTTTATCGTGGCAAAAAATTTGCATACACTCGAGCTGTCTAGCAAAGTTTGATCCAGAATTTGGCTAAACATCAACAAGACTGCTGCACCGGTCAGCTGTCGGTGCGTCGAGCGATGGACCATCAATCAATCAGCGGCGGAACATATACCGTCTCTACTGTTGCGACCCACCGAGCGATTCCGATGCGGCGTTCCGGTTTCTTACGGTCAGATGAAACAGATAAAGTCAGTACTAATCTGGGCAGCAAAGTAGCAACGACATATTTTTAAGGAAAAAGACCATAAGGAGCTGTACCAATATTCACCTTGAGGAGACGCGCTTCCTCCGCGACTTGAACAGCAGGTTTCCAGTCCTAATGAACTCTTGAATCCGATCCTACTAGTAGTGAAAGGACGAAGGTCTTCGCTGCGGAGTTATTTATCAGGAAATGCCAACTAACCGGTTACAGACCGTTGGACAGGGAAGCAAAACTCTAATTTGTATCTTATTTACAAAAACTGGACATCCATATTCTCATTAACGCGACCTCTTGAACATTCCTGGAGATTCATTGACTCTAATCATTCTTCACTCAAATCCAAGCAAAGATTAAAAAGCGACTCCACAAATTCCGCAACAGATCTCCCCTTTTCAAAAGACGCAAAGCGAAATTCTTCAAACAACACATACTACTCGCGTACCTCTCCACCATTAGCATCACCGTTACACTAAGAGTACTTATCATGCCTCCCTATGATAGGCTGACAGGTTCGACTGAGTTCTCTTGCCAAGTGCAACAGCAAAAAACAACTAAATACAATATTAAATCAGGCGGAGCCTCCGCATGTTATGTTTCTGTGGTTACAGTTTACACAATGTTTTTAATGCCACTGTTTGTAAGGTTGGTAGGAAGTCTTGGCATCAGTTAATCATGTTCTCCCTTATGATTACTCCTTGTAGCTGGTCATTCTGCAGAACAGCACATCGAATCAAATACTGACCGGACTTTAAGGCATATGCATTTAGTGTAAGTGTGGAATACGCATTCTGCCATTTCAAACAATCAGCGTAGGAGTGAAGTTACCAACCCAAAACTCGCGTCGCAAGTGTTCTTCAAGATACCGCCGGTGCGCCCTTCCACGGGTACGCACTGGCGCAAACGGCTGAATCCTGAAGAAAGTGGGCGGACATTCGTAACGAACTGATGTATGTGGGTATCGTGTATCAACTTGTGGAGCCTTCTTCTGTCAATCTGTCGAAATACGGGTAACTCGGGTGTGTTTACTGGTGGCTGATCACATGGTAGTTGATTTGTCAAGCTCGGTGAACAGATTAACTGCCGTCTGATCAACAGCCAGTAGCCTTCAACTCTTAGAAAACTCATCTGTTGACAGTTTAACTTTTCGTCATTGTGGTAAAACATCATGGATTTGGCCGGTGCTTCTGCTAATTTCTCCCGGATTGGATAGTGAAGTATATTTTCACTATTTCGAATCACATTCTTTCCAGCTGATTACCTGTCGCTTTGTAGTCTCGCACTTCCATGTGTACTGAGGTAGCTGGTTGGTCTGTATGGACCTAGTTCAAGTGAACACTGTAGATTTCTGCCGTACATACCACAGTCTAGGGTAGGTCCATCAAGCTGGTAAATATCTAGGCTGAGGAGAATCTGGCAGTTTTGTTTAAAGGCAATACCATGGGTGACACTAAAGCCCACTAAAAAATGACCAGACCGATAAACATTGTAAGTGCTAATATCTTGAGGAACAATTTAGTTTGCAGTTGATCATTCAACATTCCTCTGGCATGCAACAAATACGAAAAATTGGCTTTGATTCAGATGATTTTAAACAAAGTACCAAGCAGCAAAACCCTGTTACCACTCACTAAGTTGGTATACAAAGGATTTCTTGAACCAAGTTATCTAAAGTAACAGTTGGACTACCGAGCTACTTATTTCATTAACTATCGGACACCCAGTGGCGTGCATGCATCCAAGATGTTACCCTCAATGCATGGCCCCCTTCTGATCACCCTAGTGAAAAGTCAACTGACACCTCTGTACTGACGTCGGCTACCGCCTCCAATACGTAGTTAATTAACGCTAACTCCTCAGACCATCGGTGAATGAAACTGTGGAAATTTTAACCACTGTACAACAAATACGCGGTTTTTAATGCCGATAATTTTTATGATTTTTCGAAGTGGGTGTACAAAAAATCATGAAAAATATGAATGGTCCTATAATTTGGTTGCTGATTGCTGGTATCCGAAAATCGGGGAAGATACATGTCAATTAGATATCCTTCTTGAATCTACGTAGCCAGCCAAAATTCTATTGCCCATTACCTTCAATAACAGACAAATATTTCCTGCCTCAACGATCAACAAAACCGGCGGGCATGAATTCAGTTCTATCAGCTGGCATCTTGTGCGACTTGACACCAGAAGTAATTGCGGAGAAAGTTCACCGACAACAAACATGGCTGACTTCAACAGGCGTCGATGTAAGACCTCCAAGTTGTTCTACTCTACCTGACAGTACCATCAAAAATTCACATTCTTGTCAGTTTGGCCGAAGTCTTCGGGCAAATTCAAGTCGTCTGTCTTATTGTAGCCCATCAATAGCACGACTACCTGGAGCACAGCCGGACCTACCGTGGAATTCGTACGGAGTTCATGGGGTTCCGACGGAATCCGAGGTGATTTCTCAGCAGGTGGGTTACGTGAAATGTTCTACATATTTCTATAGGTTGTAAACGCTGAAGGCGTCGATTTTTTATCATCCTAAACTGGTTGCTGTTTGGATTGGATCATCATCATCATCATCATCATCATCATCATCATCATCATCATCATCATCATCATCATCATCATCATCATCATCATCATCATCATC